CTCAATACACCACTCACTTAGTGATAGCTTTCTGGTATGGCAAACTGATGCCAAAATCTGGGACATGTTTGAGCCATAATTTGCAGTGCCTCCATCCGACATCCTACGTCGATATGCATATAAAATATCTAGAACATCCAATACTGTTGTACTAATTGAAGGGAGCTCAAGGGTTCCTGCTTGATCAACGAATCCTATTCCTTTGAATCTGAATTTTGAAAGGCTCGGCATCTGCACGTTAATCGTCAAATTTCCAAAACCACCACAGAGTTCAAGGTACAGGCTCTTGAGGTTTGGATGTGAAAAGGTAACATGATCAAAATCATGGCCAAAAAAGTGACACCCCTTCATATGTAAATGTTCTAGTACTGGACATCCATTCATCAATATCTCAAATTGAATTTGAGAAGAAAATTTTATCTGCTCAAGGTATAATATTTTTAGATTAGGAAGGAACATGTTTCCCTTCAGAGGTAGTTCCTTGAAAAAAATGCTGAGTCTAAGTTCTACTAGTGTCCCACAAGTAAACAATGAACAGGGCAGTTGTACTTGTTCATATATATCTAAATCCAGCCTAACAATGTTGGTCTGAACCAAGTGTCTGATCCACCCTTCTGCATGAAGGCTTGTTGAATCATATTGATTGTAGTGGAGCTTCATACACTTTATGCCAGGCCCTTGATGAAAATATATAACTTGGTCAACCAAAGATATAAAGGCCTCATTTTTGTTCTCCACAATTGGAAAGGAATTGTAATCTAATTTCCAGTCAGGGAGCGATCTCCACAACTGTTGCCACTTTTTGGATACACAGGCACATTTTGCTGCAGATGTTGTGCACAGTAGTGACATTATATACATGAGAATCACTTCAGGCAGATCAAGAATGCTTGTCGCCTGCTGTTGCGATACCTTACTTTCCTTCTCTTGTCTCTCCATTTGCGATTTGTTTCAGACCTTCAAGAAAAGTCCTCAAAGATGTTATAGATGAATAAGGAAAGAATCTGCCGGAAAAGCTTTGGCATATAATTGAAAGGAGGAAACATGATAAATTTGATCAATTCTGCTTTCTACAATTACCCTGTCTAATCTAGCACTAAAATGCTAATAGAATATGCTTTGTATTTTGGTTAAGGAGACTGTACTCTCCTCAAAGGATAGTGACGGTGCTAGGGTTTTGAGCCATTTCTTTGCGTTATTTTATCTCGTGTTAAGGAGTTCACCTCGACATCTTTTCCCTTTTTCATCAGTACGTGACAGGACTTGATTTCGAGAGCTTTTTTGTCAATGTAGTTATCATCCATGGAGAAAAAGACATATATTGACGTGTCGAACTTATAACAGACAAATTATGCATGGTAATGAAGATTTAGCAATTCTGCCTGAAATTTAAATATAAGAATGGAACTTTCCAAAATCATAGTATAACAGAATCACCAAGGGAAGCCAAAGCTTGATTGCTAAAGCACTAGGAACAGAAAATGTATTATAAATTATTATTTATGATAATAGATGCTTTTGAAATCTCGTTCCAGGATCGACAAGGAAGAGGATGGCGTGCAACAAGGAAGTAGGTATTTGTGATTGGGCAATCCATGTTGTAGATACGACAGTACCATACACACCTAATGATACCATGAATAAAAAAATCTAGCAACATTAGTAGGATTCATCCATAAACACATGCATATACACGAAGACTAGAACACACTCCTCGCAAATAATATCTTGTTTGTTTCATTTATTCCTAAGTAGTCTACATGAAAAATGAAAACTTTTAAATATTCAACAATATGCCATAACCTCTGTATGGGTGTTGACCCTCCATTTAACTGTTTGTGCTTCTTAGATGATCAATATAATGTTATTACTACTTAATTCAAGATTTGTGTAGTAGTTCTTATGTGAGCATAATATGCATCTCTTGGGATAAAATGCATCGCTTTTCTAGAAATAATGACTTAGTTGAAAGTTAGCCTATGATCTTGTTTGTATTTTTCAGTTACTTTTCTGGGTATTGGTGGAGATCAGTGTTTAATCCACATTTGAAAATCTCTCAGCTGATTTTAAATGATTGATATGCATCAAGTGTTCGCTGATTCTTTTTGTCGTGGTTTTACCACATAATGCTATGAGGTCTTAGAGAAATGTACATGATAGATTATCATATTTACAAAGTATAGCTTCAATATACTCAGATAGGCACAAAAACATACTATTTTTATGTTTCTTTCCAGCTTAGACTATCCTTACAAAATACTAGTTATGTAAACGATGAAACTGTTTTTAACCAATGTGAGTGGTTTAAGAGTCTTTGAAGTCTGACGAGAGGACCTGTTATTACTATTTGGGAGCATGATTGTTTATTTTTCATTATATGTAACTTGCAGATGACTAGGCTACTGTTATTTATGCATAATATTGTAAACCTTTGCATGCTTAGCACAAAATGAGGATATCTTTTTTGGAGTCTTAAATTCAAATATAATGTGCTTCTTCATTGTTTTCGACAATATCAGTTTGCTTCATCTTATACATTATAATAGGACAATTTTTTTTTTAAAAAAGAACTTTTAAATTTAATTATGAAATTCGACCCACTCAACATATAGTTACAAAACCCGACCTACTTTTAGAAAGCTGGTTGCTTTTTAATAATTTTGCTTTGTTAAATT